CCTTTATAAAACCATATGAAAATCTAACCAAAACCTCGGATGTCAAGGGGATCCCTAATTCCTTTGGATTTTCTATTATACCCCCCTAATGACCTCAAACCTCCCCCTAATTCATTATGGTCTGGCTCCTTTTAAATTAGTACAGCACCTTTTAAAATGCTCATGAGGAATTTTTAGGGTCCCGGATTTATTATTTATTATTAGGGGGGCGTTTAGTATAATATGAGGAAGAGATTAATCTTATTCACTACACCCATGCCTTGAGCCCCAAGCCCAAGGTCAGCACTCTTACTGCCTGGCTGGGCGGCATGTCCTGGCTCCTACAAAATGTGGGGAGCATGGACTGAGTGAGTGGGGATCATCTGGGGAAACCCTGAGAGATCTTGAGAGCATCATCCCTTTCAGTAGCTACAAGCTGCGGTTAAAGTGCCCATCAACCCAACTTGTATTGGCTCCCTAGGGCTGCATGCTTGAATCCCTAAGCCGATTTGCAAAGGTGAAGGGGTGGGACTACTTCATCAACCTCAATGTGAGGGCCGCAGTGGCGTGCAGAATTAGCCGCAGAACGCCTCCAGCTTTGCTTGCCCCAAAACAAGTTACATACTTTGTTTTGTGCAGATGCCCCGAGCCTCGCGCACGATTATGAAAAAGCAGTCGTGGCTAGAAATAACAACGAAAAAAAATCAAAAGGATTCATGGTGCAACAGTCAGAAGACCACAGGCAGGCCCCGAGCATGGACCCTGGAAGTATTGACCACCACTAACTGCGAATTTGAGTAGAGCCCTCTGACTCATCGTTCCAATCCGTACGAGACGAGTATGGTGGCTATGGAGATATCCTCGCTACCTAATATATACTCTATTATAATACAGTTGTTTCCATTTTCTTTTCCATTATCCATATATAACCCCAATAATATACCCCATATTCTATTTACATTCTGAGGATTCGGATTATCCGGTGGCAGACCTCAGCTCCCTCCGCCGCTTCCTGTGGCTAAACAATGGTGGCAACTTCGTGAATGTGGGTTCTGCATACAAGGCAGGGGCTTCCCTTTTGAATTGAGCCTCTCAGCAAAGGCTTCCGAATGTGATGCCTCGGGTAAGAATTTTCCGTCGAGCAATCAATTTTCGGATGGCGTCTAGACTCTAGACGATGCAAAACCATCTAGGCATAGGCCGCTGAAACCCTCCAACCCAATCCTTCCTGCAGTTTTCCTTGATGGTGCTGGTGTAGTTCAGAGACCCTTACGAAGCCTTGGGTTCTTCTTATTGCGCCTACAATAAAAATTGCAGTCCCCAGGTTGTCAAGGACCCGTATCTCAGTGATCATGAGATTCGGAGGACTGCGACTGTGGCCGCTATCTCGTCTACGAGTGCGGGGATGAGCTCTACTCCATCGCGCCGGAGACGCAGCGACCTGATAGAGTTTTTGCGGGGTCTGGTTTGCAGCCCCCTGATGTGTGTAGGGAACTTCAAGGTTCTCAGGTGTTAGGTGCGCAGCTGAGGAGACATGCTGCCGCAGTCCAAACAAACCCCAACCCACAGGGAGCCTGAGAGGTACCCTCGGCGCCCAGAGCTCCAGCACGCTTCAGGTCCGAATCTGGTGGCTCCTGGGGCAGCATGTAGCCTGTTGTCTTTGCTTGAGCCGAGGACTGGTAGGAGTAGGAGTAGTAGTGAAGTCATGATGCTTCTGCTGCTGCTGCTGCTGCTGCCACTGCTGCCACTGCTGCTGCTGCTACGATTGCCGCGATTGCAGCTGCCACTAGTCCTCCCCGTGCTAGTACTACTGCGCCACTACTAATGAGACTACTTCTAGTACTGCTGTTGCTCCTGCAAGCCTGGCTCATGTTCGGGATAGCGTTAGTGACGGATTGGGTTTTGTACATCCATGTAGACCTTACAAGCATTGATCGCCTTCATGGATGTTGCCTTGTGTCATGGACCTATCACAAAGGTCATGAATTGCCAACGCGGTCGTTGCTTGCTGTTGTTGCATTTTAGGTTGTATGGTTCAGGTTGTCGTGGCAACGACAAAAAAAGGCAATAGCTGAAAAAGCAAGATGTGTATCACTGTCGGTTCAGATAGCAATTTGGCTACTTGGCATTGCTGGCAGATACTCACTCATACCAGCCAAGATATTCAGGCGATTACGTGGGACTTTGCCCACTACATCGCCGCTTGGGCCCGGTTGGCTGCAGGGCTCGTAGCTTTGTAGGGGTGTGCCAGCAAAAGCATGAAGCAAGCGAAGCCCTGGAAGATGGGGCCAACAATTAGGAAGCCTTCCAGGGTTTTCCCATAGTTTGCATGCTCACACAGGCCTCCACCCTTGCTGCTTGAGGCTGCGAACCGGGACGTGGCGCTCACGCCCGTGCAGCAAGTGCTCGAGGACCTTAGCATCTTGGCGGTGCGCTAGTCAAAAATTGCTTTCAATGGCGATTGGATCGAAGAATGCAATGTGCAGTGTTGATGATGGTCATTTCCTCTGTATTCCCTTGGCTTC